TATTGTGCTGGAAATCAAGCTCTGTAATTCCCAGAATTATCACAAAACATAAAGATTGAGGTTGTAGACAAGCTCGCCAAGCCAGTGGGTTTAGTTGCAAACGCTTTGTCACCATGCTAGATAACATCATCAGTGTGCCTCCGGTGAAGCGTTGGTGTTCTGTCCCGAAATCTTCTCAAAAACTTTAAACGTAAAGATTTTTTTTAAAAATGCAGAATTCCGTATTCTACTTGATTTACAGACCAATTTTGCAGAAAGCACAGACCAAATTTCTATACTTAACAAGAATGACTATTTATTAACAGTAAGTAGATTCTAGCTACAGATCAACCATTATGAACCATCAGCATATGACTCTACTAATTAGAACTCTAATCCTTTTATAAACACCCCCTTATATACACACACAGACAGGAAAATATATCATGGGTGTTACGGACAGAAGGATAAACAGGGAATGTAGTTCAGTGATCTCTGTTCACAGGATCTGCTGAAATGGCTCGAGCTGATCAAACCACTGCTTCTTCATCATCTTTCTCCAGATGCTTTCACTGCAGGAGGCACAGAGTGACTGGTTCACTTATAGAAAGCCTCTGACTAGTGAAAAAATTCATATCTTACAGTAACTGCTGACAGTAAAATAAATTGATTGCCTTCAGGCTTCAAGTGGTTTTTACTATAGAATCTTACCGTGGCGAAAGAGGCCAATCAGCCCATCAAGTCCTGCACTGACCCATTGAACAGCATCCCACCCAGATTCTGTAACCCTGCATTTCCCATGGCTAAATAACCTGGCTTGCATATCCCTAGACACTACAGTGCAATTTAGCATGGCCAATCCACCTAATCTGCACATCTTTGGGCTGTGGGAGGAAACCCAAGCAGACATAGGGAGAACATGCAAACTCCACACAGACAGTTATCCAAGGCTGGAATCAAACCTGGGTCCCTGGTGCAGTGCTAATCACTGAGCCACCATGCTGCTCTTTTACTAGAGAACAGAGAGAACTCCTAAGCGTGTGGAGGTCTGAAAGCCTCTCACTATCATATTCACGGTACCAAGTTGTTCAACTACCTGAAAACCAACTATAAAGTTGTTGGCAGGCAGAACATCTTTGTCACCAATAACTGGTTAGTCCACAGACCAATCAGCTATGTTTTGCTGGCTGAATCTCCATTTCTTCGTACCCTTCAGTTCCAGCTCATCTGCAAACTACACTTCAACTACTGATCAAACAAGCAGCTGTATAAATGGATGTAACAATGAGTATCAGGTTACTTGCTTTCAAAGACTGCAATAATCCTTCATAGAGTCGTACAGTATGGAAACAAACCCTTCGGTCCAACTCATCCATGCCGACCAAGTTATCCAAACTAAACTAGTCCCATTTGCCTGCATTTGGCCCATATCCCTCTAAACCTTTACTATTCAAGTACCTATCCAAATGTATTTTAAATGTTGTAACTGTATCTCCATCCACCACTTCCTCTGGCAGTTCATTCCACACACGAAACACACCGTCTTGTGAAAAAGTTGCCCCTTGAATTTTTTTTAAATCTTTCTCCACTCTTCTTAAAATATGTCCCTTTGTTTTAAACTCCCCACCCAATGGAAAATACCCTTGCTATTCACCTTATCTATGCATCTGTGTCCCTCATGATTTTATAAGCCTCCAGAAGGTCACCTCTCAACCTCCGATGCTCTAGTGAAAAACACCCTTCACCAACACTTGGTTTTTAAAACAGTTCTTTTCCCATTTAAGTCCACATTTAAAAGACACAGAAAAATTAAAATATACACAATCTTTATGCAACCAACAAATTATCTGTTCTGTATCACATTGTTATTTACTGAGCATACTGTGATCATATAGGTTAACATGTATAGTACATTACAAAAGTGATTACACCTCAAACATTAGCTGTGAACTCTTCTCGACTGTTACTTTCAATATGAACAGATTGTGCAGCCTTGGATGCTGTAAGGACCTAAGTTCTCAATGTAAACTGTGAGATCTTGGCTTAGAAGTAGCTCGTATCTCAACTTAAAAGTGTTCATTTGTAATACAGGCTTCTGGTATAACGCATGTTCTGGCAAATGTGAATTGGCTATAACATGACTGATGAATAGGATAACACTATTTCTAAAATGCGAACATGTGTTGGCTATAACCAATTCCTCGATTCCATCTTCTCTCCTCCAACCCATGGACCAGGGTGCAATTGCAGCTTTTAAAGCTTATTATTTAAGGCGCACATCTAAGAGGCTGATTGCAGCCACTGAGGGGGATAAGGACAGTGTTCTTCAGTTTTGGAAGAGGTTTAACATCAAGAATGCAATTGATACTATCATGGAGGCCTGGGATGATATCAGGAGGATTGCTTGCATGCAGTTTGGTGGAAGCTTCTCCCAGATTTTTTTCAAGGTTTTAAAACCTTTGATCCATCAAAGAAGTTCTCAAGAATCAAAGAACATTGTGTTGATCTTGCAAAGCAAGTTGGATTTGAGGAAGTGGAGAGTGAGGATGTTGAAGAGCTGCTTGAGTCCCACATGTGAAGACATCTCTGCAGCTAAGCTACAGCAACTTGTCGCTGAGGGGGAAGTGGAAGCTGGAGATGAAGCAGATGAAGTACAGGTTGCAGCACCACAAGAGCTTTCCACTTCTGTTTTGTCTTCCATCCTGAGGGAAATTAAGAAGCAGTTGCAGCTCTTAGAGGACAAAGATTACAATGCAGAACGCATTAACAAGAGCTTATTTGGCACCCTGTGAACAGCTTCTTCATGAAAGAAGAAAAAGGGCAAAGCAGCAAAAACTGGATGTCTTTTTTAAGCCAACGCCGAAGAAACAGTCAGAAAACAAGAACCACAGCCATCCACTTCTGGTTTAACTGTTTTTCGCCCTAACCCTGCAACCACAACTGCATCTGAAGGTGATGATGATGATGATGATGACGGCCCTCAGCCCATACATTAACAACAGAGCAACCTCAAAAACCTCCTCCCCCATCAAGTCATCTTGACATTTTTTCAAGATAAGGTGTTAAATTTACTTTTATTTCATTATTAGATATGAATTAAACATTCATTAAAATTATGCTATCCTTCGTGTTAGGATTTTGAGTGATATTTTTTGGTGGTTTGCCCTAACCCTGCTTTTCCCACAGGCCCCATTATTTCTATAATGTGAGTTTCTATAACGCAATGTTGCGCAGGAATGCAACCATCGCATTATAGCAGAACCTCTTGTATTGTCCATGGACTGCAACAAGTGAATCCTCAGTGACTGGTTTCTCTCTCTATATTAAGAGAATGGAGAGCTCAAGAGTTCACTTAACCTTGAGATTTTCACCTAAACTGCAATAGATTGAGTAGAATGATGAGAGTAACAAATAGTATGTTGTCTAGGGAACTTAATGCTCACTTGTGGTTTTGAAGGTGAATGGATTAATGTGATTTCTATCAGTTGATGTAAGATGTATGTTGTATCTCTAATCTCTTCCAAATGTTCGTGATGCTGCAGAATTCAACAAATTGGAACATTTGGCATTGCTTGAGTATTTTTGCTCTTTTAAATTGTTGATTAGTGCAATTAATTTCTTGACTCAAAACAATAGTTATCAATTAACTCATAAACTACAATTGACTTAAGCACATATGCAGGAGACATGAAGGAGTTCACTTGCAGAGCTGGCATTGAGGCTTGTTGTTTACTCTGTGGTTCTGCACTTTGGCTGTCTGTGGCTAAGATCCAGTTTGCACTATTTATGTATTCAGACTAATCTATGCTGTGACGCTCTCTGAACTCCTGCCATGATGATCTTTTGCATTACTTTAATGCTGTTATTTCCAATTGAGGCACATGCCTTTCTAAACAAATGCCATTACTGAGTTTTGGCAGCTATATGGTTCACAATGCAATTCTGACTCTGTAACTCAAAAGAAGTCTGCAGCTGTTCACAGTCTTTCATTTGTTATTTAACGTAAATGTCTTATTAGGTCTGTGAAGTTGTTGTACCTTGCTTCAAATTTGGAAGTGTAAATGTGCGGTCATTCACTTTGGACCTAAAAAGATAGGACAGGGTACTTTTCAAATAATAAGAAACAATGGTGCAAAGAGACCAAGTATGCAGATCATTAAAAATGGAATCAAAAATAACCAAAAAGGTAAAGATTACTGAAAGTTAACGAGTGAATGCCTCAAGCAATTAGGAAGGCATTTTTTATTTCGTTATTGATTCATGCGGTGTGGGCATCACTGGCTAGGCCAATATTTATTGCCCAGGGGGCAGTTAAAAATAAACCACATTGCTGTGGGTCTGGAGTCACATGTAACCCAGACCGGATAAGGATGGCAGATTTCCTTCCAGATAATCAACAGTGGTTACATGATCACCACTGGGCTTGTTTTATATTCCAGATTATCATTGATTTCAAATTACACTATCTGCCGTTACAGAATTCAAACACATATCCCCAGACCACCAACCTGAGGTTTTGCATTACCAGTTCAATGACACCACCTTCCCCAAATTGGCTCTAATTGAGAAAGGGTTGGAGTACAAAAATAAGGAAGTCTTGCCACAGTTGTATCTTCTTCATATGCAGGTCCTTGGGGTCAAGGATGACTTTCTCCCACTTGAGAGCTGTGGGTCCTGACTGAACAGTTTAATGCTGGATCTGTGCAAGTGGGGTGGGGTTGTGTTTGAAGAGGTGTTTGAAGGTCCTTGTCAGAGTAAATACTGAGAGGATATCTCTCCACATAAGCTAGGGCCAGAGGGCATAGCCTTTGAATTATGGGCATCAATTTAAGACTGAGATGAGCAGGAATTTCTACTCTCAGAGGGTTGTGAGTCATTGGAACTCCTTGCCACAGAAAGCTGTGGGGAAAGAGTCCTTATGTGTAATTAAGGCTGAGATAGATTCTTGATCAGTCAGGGAATCAAGGATTATGGGCAAAAGGGCAGGAAAGTGAATGTGAGGAATGTTGTGTCAGCCATGATTCTATTGAATGGTGGAGCAGGCTTAACAAGCCAAACAGCCTACTCCTGTTCCTATTTCTTATAGTCTTATGGGTGGGTCCGATGCCTGTAGTTTCACACTCTCCTTCTGCTGTTTGCAATTGGCCTGCTGGAAACACTTGAAATTGTTGCCTACTTGACAAATATTTCATCTCCAGTTTGAGCAGTCTTGGTTTAGAGGCTCTCAAAAGTCAGCATGGATATCGTATTTGTTTCAGGGAAGCTCTTAGAACATCCTGGAAGTGTTTCCTCTCCCCTCCTGTTAACTGCTTGTCATGATGAAGCTTGAGGAAGAACTTACAGAATAGAGTGCGCAATGTTTGTCTCTCTATCTCAGGAAGGATATTTCTGCCCTGGAGGTGGTATAGCAATGATTCACTTGATTGTTCCTGGGGTGGGAGAGGTATCCAATGATGAAAAGCTGACTAAATTGGGCCTATAATCTCTAGATTCAAATGAATGCAAGATGATTCAGAACAAATAATGTTGTTTCTCCTGTCAGGGGAAGCTAGAACATGGGGCCGTAGTCCCAGGGCAAGAGCCTAATCATTAAGAACTGAGATGAGGGTAGTGAATCATTCCACCTAAGAGATGTGTATAGACATGTGTATGTTCAAAGCTGAGTTTGATAGGTTTATAATCCCTCAGAGACGAAAGAATACTGGGTGCTGACTGGAAAGTGGAGTTGAGGCAGAACATCAGCCGTAATCATTTTGAATAGCAGGGTAGACCCAAGAGGCTGAATAGCCTCCTCTTCCCCCTATTTCTTATTTACTTAGGTTCCAATCCCTGGTTAGATCACTACACTGCTACACTAGAACACTGTGACTATTTTTGGGATCCACAGCTTGAGGGAAGTGAATTAATACCAGGCCTCCAAGTGTTAAATTACAATGAACTAGCATTGTATTCCTTTGGAATTTAGAAGATAGAGGGGAGATTTGATCAAGGTTTTCAAGATATTAAGGGGAACGTATTGTGTGGATAGATGGAAAGAAAATATTTACTGCGGCTAGGGATCCTAGGAATACGAACATAGTCAAAAAATTAGAGCATTAAATTCTCCCCAACAATCCAATACTCTACTGATTGGTTTGACATCTTCCATGTTAACTTCAGTTGATTCAAAACTCTGCTGCCTGTCTCCTAATCGATAATAGGTCTGAACTGACTTCATTCTGAAATCCTATTAGCTTCTTCTGCTCCCCTCTATTTCAGCACAGAACCTCATGTGATTTTGGGTGTGCAGCAATGACCTTGTTCCTGGGACAAATGATTGAATGCTATTGACAATTTTTCTGCTAGTGGCAGTACAAAACTGTTATGGTCCCAGCTGATATTATTACTGGGCAAGTCAGTTCACTAACTGTAATCTGGCTTGATAGATCATACTTTGTTGTTTTTTTTTATTTAACAAAATAGTTTTTCACAACACAAACATTTAAACCTGCAGACTAGGTTTTTAACAAAATAACAAAACGTTATGATGCAAAAGAAATGAAATAAAAAAGAATAGACCAAACCATGACATAAAATACACGGTTAAAGATATTGAAACACATGGTAAAGAGACATTAATCCCACTGGCAATTCATTACAGTACTCAAACACCTGAAAGAATATCCTTCTCTATCCCGCAAATGGTTTGCCTTAGCTGTGGTTTCAGCTTCAATTCTCAATCTTGAGAATCTCTAATATTCCTCTAATATTCCAAGGCTCCCTACTCTCTGGCCAAAGAAGTTTCTCCTTAGCTCAGTCCTACCCCATATCCTTATATTGTGACGTCTGGCTCTGGACGCCCGGTCATTGAGAACATCCTTCCCCCAATTTACCCTGTCTAGTCCTGTCAGAATCTTATAGGTTTCTGTGAAATGCCCCCCTCATTCTTCTAAACACCACGAATATAGTCCTAACTCATCCTGCCTCTCTTCATACGTCAGTCCTGCCATTCCAGGAATCAGTCTGGTGAATTTTTGTTGCACTCCCTCCATAGCCAGCACATCCTGCCTCAGAAAAGGAGACCAAAACTCACACAATACTTCAGTTGTGTCCTCACCAAGGCATTGTTTCATTTCAGCAAAACATTCTTATTCCCATACTTGAATCCTCTCAATATGAAAGCCAATATACCATTGCTTTCTTCACCCTGCTGCACCTGCATGCTTACTTTCAGGAACTGGTGAACAAGGACACCCAGCTCTCATTGCACCTCCCCATTTCCCAATCCACCTTCCTGTTTTTGCTACCAAATTGGAAACCTAACATTTATCCACATTATACCTCATCTGCCATGCATTTGGTCACTCATTCAATTGTCAAAATCACACTGGAGCATCGCTGAATCTTCCTCACAGTTTATCCTCCTACCCAGCTTTGTGTCATCTGCAAACTTTGAAATATTACATTTAGCTCCCTCAACAAAATCATTTATAATTTTGTGAATAGCTGGGTGGGCCACACTCTCTATGTTTGTAGTTCCTATTGAGGTGCCAGTGTCAGGGCTGCTGGACCATACAGGAAGCTGCTTTGCTGATGCTGCCTCTAAGTCCTTGGTACACTCATCCTTGGAAGCAGGTGATTCCTCCTCAGTGGCTTCTTCTCCACAGATATCGTCAGGAGGCTTGTGGAACATGCATGACAATAGAGAGAAAAGGAGTAATTGCCTATGGATGCAAACTGTGTGCAATGAATGAGGATGACAGTGGAGTTAATGGGAGAGTGGCAGCGGCATGCAGAGTGGTTAGTACTCACTCGTTTGGCATGACATGGATGTTTCTGCAGGATTAATCCCTGTCTTCTCCTCTGAGGGCCCTATTTGTCTCCTTGCAGGGGGTGAGAACACAGCTGCCTTCCCGACTTCCACCCATTCAGGCTCTCTCCAACCTGTTATGAGCTGACTTCTCCTGTATTGAGAAAAAAGGGGAATGAATGAGATGACAATGGGTGGCATAGCTGTTACTGGTGTGTATGAGGGTAAGGTTCTGAAAGACCAAGGAGGCAGTGCTGAGGAAACACAGGTTAAGTGGTGTGGGAGACTGAGGGGGAAAGTGAGGGTGATGGAAGTGTTACTGGCAAAATGATGGTGGCGGAGCATATGAACCTTAGTGAGAGTAGCACTGATAGAGTGAGTGTGAGGAGCAGAGTAGCAGATATTTACTCTGGGGCAATGGAGAAGGTCATTGACTTTGTGTTCTGCACTCCTGCCCATTCCTTTGCACCGAAGATGGCACTGACCCAGCTGACAACCTTGGACTAGGCTGTCAGGTTCTGTTGGCACAACTTCCTCTTGCTGGTCCTCAGGGAAAATGCTACCTTTTGGTTGCAAGGCCCGTTCGACCAAGACATCCAGGTTGGAGTCATCACGGTATCATCTTCCCCTTCTCCAACATCTAATGCACATGTCTTTGATTAAATAGAGCAGTAATTGAATGCCAATGCTCATTTGCAGCATTTTAAAGATGGCATTGTCTCAGAGAATGCCAGCCTTTGGGCTGATATCCACTGAGTAGGCAACTGTTCTAGGAATAGCATGTTAGAAGATGGGGTGGGAGGGGGTCACAGAATCAGACATGAGCGAGGGCATGTTAGGTAACTGATTGGGTAAGTTTGGTAAAATAGGATGGGAAAACACGTTAGGCCTCATGGTGACAAACCCTTCCGAAAACTCAATGCAAAAACAAACGTAAGATTCAGCACTTACATTTCCAAGGCATCTTTCACACTCTCAGCACAACCCAAAGTATTTTAACAGCTGATACTTTCGATGTATAGTCATTGCTGTCAAATTCTGGCAGTAATAACTCACAAACAGCAATGCAATAACGACCAGATAATCTGTTTATTAGTGACGTTGACCAGGATACCAGGATGATTATCCAATTCTTTGAAGCCTGTGTCTTTGTTTTAATGATTCATTCAAAAAGCAATGCCTTTGACCATGCAGCACCCCCTCAGTGGAATTTCAGATGATCTGGAAAATAAACGCACACAAAATAGATTAACAGATGGTAAAAGAAATAAATATTTTTATTCACACCCTTAATGGAAGTGGGACCACCAGCAGAGAACTGGAACTGTTCTTATATTTGTATTTACAGAGCAATGACTGCAGAATGCTAGTTTGTTTTTGAATGTCATTGTGGCTTGCAATCTGACTGTGAATGTGCCTAAATGTTCAGAAAGAATGAGGCAGCCTATCTAGCCCATGAGAAAATAGGTGACCGGTTAACAGGGCCTGGGCGTAAAGAGTATTTTTCAAATAAAATTTGACTGGAAGATTCCAATGACGAGATATTCTTTGGAACCGTGCTGGAGTTGCGCATGGGGACCTTGCAAAATCCCAGATTCACTGGAAATGTCTGGGAAAATGACGGTTCCAATGGGCAAATGTCCTGTGTCTCAGAAATAAATCCTAACATCAGAGAATTCAGAAGGTGTCAGCCTGAACCATCTCCGGCCACAACAATCCGTCCCGCCACCAGCCCAGACTGTCTCCTTTTCCATTGGCTCTGAGAACACACCCCTTACCTCACCCCTCAACAAATCCTCCCTCCCACAACCCCAGCACCGGCTCACCAAACCCCCGCCCCCGCCCCCCACAGCCTACTTAATCCATCCCTTACTTGGCACCCTATCCACCTAACACCCTGCTTATTTGGCATCAGTGCATCCCTACCCAACTGGCACCCTGACTTCTTAACCAACCTCTGCCCTAACCCCACACATACGGTCATACGCCCCCTTTCCCAGCAGCTGTCAAACTGTCTGGCAATGCTGACGGACATTTCAATCTCGCAACATGGCAACCAACTGCTGCAATCATCCTATGATCTGATTGACCTTGTATGTTATGATCTGTTTGTACTGAACACAAAACAAAACTTTTCACTGTACTTAGGTACATATGACAATAATAAATCAAATCAAATCAAAAAGCAGGCGGGGTTTAACTTCCTCCAACTATCCTGCACTAAGGATGAACTGTGTTGATTTCAGCTGTGCATCGCATTTCTGAAGGAACCAGAATTAGAATTCGAAATGCAGAGCTCAGTACTACAGGGAGAAATAGGATTGGATTATCAATCTGATTGTGATTGCCACTCCTAGGAATATCTGTACCATTGATTCTCCGTCGCGTCTCAGCTGCAAAATACAGTGTAAAAAAGAACTTGATACCATTCTGTGAGTATGTGTAAAGTTGGAATAATGCAATTAAACCTCCAGGTACCTTACTACTTAGTATAATGTAATTGCTCTGAAGGAATTAATGTTAAAGCTGTATTAAACTCAACCTAAATTAATCTAGTCCCATTTGCCAGCATTTGGCACATATCCCTCTTTCTAGATGCCTTTAAAAGCCTCCACCACTAACTCTGGCAGCTCACTCCATACACACAACATCCTTTGTGTGAAAAAGTTGCCCCTTAAGCCTCTTTTAAATCTTTTCCCTCTCACCTTAAACCTAAGCCCTCTACTTTTGGACTTCCCTACCCTGGGAAAAAGGACCTTGGCTATTCACCCTAACCATGCCCCTCAAGATTTTATAAACTTCTATAAGGTCACCCCTCAGCCTCCAATGCTCCAGGGAAAATATCCACAGCCTATTCAGCCTCTCCCTATAATTCTTACCCCAACCCTAGCGACATTTTTGTAATTTTTTTTCTGAACCCTTTCAAGTATAACAACAACTTTCCTACAGCAGGGAAGCCAGTATTGAACACAGTACTAGTCTTTGGGTGGAGAAGGAACAGTATACCACAAGGTCCCAATGGAGATAAATGCGTCATCTCAGACTCCTTGTAACTTATATCTATAGTATTCATACAACAAACTTCATTTTGTGTAGGGCAAGTGCCTCTTATTAAAACTTAATCGTGATTTATCCTCCAATGAGGCTAATTAGATAGGTTCTTAGACTCAGCATAGGAAGAGGATTTGAGGCATCAGTCTACCCCAACCACAAGTCATCAGTGGTTGGTACCATTCCATATGACACAGTTATTCATTGGTAAAGTAAGAGGTTTTGAATGAAAATTAGGAGAGGTACATGTGCATGTAGCTTTAACCCAGCATCATCCAGCTATTAATTTTCACAGCAATCAGCGTCTTTTGCAGTACATTAATGTGAAATGTCCGCCTCAACAATGCAGAATTATTATGCCTTTTTGTTTTTTAACAAAATATGGTGAGGAATTGGAGCAAACAGTGACTCAATTAAAGGAAATATCCCATCCTAGGTGTGCTGCAATGCTAGATGCAGCCTATTTACACCTATTAACATCTGTAACCAGCAAGTGTGCCTGGTAAACAGAATGTAAGGTAATACTTCTCACCTTCAAGTAACTAAGATGGTGTCATGAAAATTGTCAACTTGAGCTGTGAGATTGTACTTTAACATGAGTCACCAACAACTGGAGAGGAATTCAAGAGAACGTACAATTATCTCCTAAATATCATTGTGCCACACCTCAAGTGTGACTAAACTGCACACTCCAAAAATAGGTAATTCACCTTTCTGATGTAATTCCTCATAAAGTTACAATGCAGTCACTTTACTAGATTTGATAGTCAAGTAGTGATATTACAAGACTAGTTATCCATAGGCTGGGACAAGTAAGATGGAGATGTAAGTTCAAATCCCACCGTGGCAGCTGAGAAATTTAAATTATGAAATAAATCTGACATAAAAAGTTAGCATTTGACAATGCTGATCACGAAATTATTGTTTCATTATGGTTTTTCATGAGTTGTGGGCATCATTGGCTGAGACATTTTGGTCCCCCCTACTTGATGAGGAATGTAGTTATACTGGAGGCAGTTCAAAGGAGGTGCACTAGATTGATTCTAGAGAAGAGGGGCTTGTCTTACAGAGAGAGATAGAGCAGTTTAGACCTACGCTCTCTGGAGTTTTAATCAAGGTATATAAGATACTAAAGGGGATTGATAAAGTAGATGTGGAAAGGATGTTTCTCCATGCAGGGAAATGTAAAATGAGATGTCATTAGTTTTGGTCTAAGGGGTAGTGGATTTAAAACAGAGATGAGGAGAAATTACTTCTCTCAAAGGGTCGTGAATCTGTGGAATTCACTCCCCCCACAAAGTACAATGGATGCTGGGACATTGAGAAAATTTAAGGAGGAAGTGGACAGATTTTTAATTAGTAAAGGGTTATGGGAGCGGGCAGGAAAGTGGAGTTGAGGCCCAGATGAGATCAGCCATGATTGTGCTAAATTGTGGAGCAGGCTTGAGGGGCCGAATTGTCTACTTCTGCTGCTAGTTCTTATGTTCTTAATGCCCACCCCTAATTGCCCTTGAGGGTGAATATAAGGTCACAGCCCACAGTTTCGGAAAATTCCATTTTTCATTGTGCCATTCTACCATTAACTCAAAGGAATAATCGAGTGACTCCCCAAACCTACTGGGAGGCCTCAGTTTTCACAGCACAGAAACGGAACTTCCGCTACATTTTAGTGTTTGTGTGAAACACAGGTCTGTTCTACAGTTTATCTATGTTCATCAAACATATACTTCTATTCCTTTCCTCATGTGTTTGATCCCCGGTTTGTGGTCGTCTGAGCTACGGGTGGCATTAAGAATGCTATAATTGGCTCTCATTCTACCTCAGCTAAAAAGGAGCAAGTTAATCAGAGATCTTTTCATTGTTTGTTCTCAAGCTGGACATACATACTTTGTGTTAAATATGAGACAAGGTCAGCATTTATGCCCATGATCTGTATGGCTTACTGGGTTATTTTAGAGGATGATTAAGAGTCAACCACATTGTTGGGGGTCTGGAGTCACATTTAGACCAGAGCAGGTAAGAAGGACAGATTTCCTTCCCTAAGGGACATAAAATGAACCAGAAGGGTTTTTATGACAATCGACAATGGTCACCATTTAGTGTTCTAGATTTTCATTGAATTCAGATTTCACCATTTTCCATCGTGGGACGTTAGTCTGGGGTTCTGAACTACTAATTCTCTGACATTAGCACTATACTGCCACTTGTGGACAGTTGTGCAGCACTCAAAAGACCTGTTTTTTCAAAAAGGAATAAATTTCAGTACATTGCCATTACATAGATGTGAGGAAGTGACAGCTTTATGAGGTAATTGTGATTTTAATGGGGAACTTAATTGTTTTTCATAGCTATAAATATCGCACTGCTGAAACATTCATCTATATTTTTGTTACTTCCATTCTTGACTATTCCAAAGCTCTCCCGGCATCTTCTACCTATCAGAAACCTGTGTCTATACTTTGCTGCCCCAATCATAACTCACCCCAAATCCCTTTCACTCATCCCCTATGTGTTTGGTGACCTACATTGACTCCTCGTTCAACATTACCTCAATTTTAAATTATAACTCTTTGTTTCAAGTGCTTTCATTGTCTTGTCCCTCTCTCTCTTTGTAGTGCCCTCCAGCCCCACACCCTCTGAGATGCCTATGTTTCCCCAAATCTTCCCTCTTGTGTATCCCTCGTTTTGATCACTTCACTACTGAAACACATCTTCAGCTGACATGGCCCCATACTGTGAAGTTCATTCCGTAGAGCTCTCTCTTCAATTTGCTTCTTTAAGATGCTCCTTAAAATTTTTTTCTTTGATTGACATTTCAGTCATTTGCTTGAACATCTCCTGATGTGTCTTGGTGTCAAAGTTTGTTTGATAAACACTTCCACAAGGCAGGAGGCATTTGACTATGTTGAGGGGGCCAGATAAACGATAGTTATTGGTGTAGTTTAGTGAAGTTTTCAATCTAACTTTGCTGTTGCATTATAAATTGAAATAGTTACACATAGAATATTTATAATTATAATTATAATTAGAATAATGGGGCAGCATGGTGGCTCAGTGGTTAGCACTGCTGCCTCACAGCACCAGGGACCCAGGTTCGATTCCATCCTCGGGTATCTGTCTGCGTGGGTTTCCTCTGGGTGCTCCGGTTTCCGCCCACAGTCCAAAGATAT